AAAAGTCGAGTGTAGTTAAGATATGCCAAAATCAGAGGAGTCGTCAATAGCTCTTTGAGATCCATGAATGCCCGCTCATAATCCGGAAACCAATTGAAAGATGATGTTAATGACTTTAGCAACACTCGCAACAGTGTAGTGCAATTAGAAAGATAATCCACAAAATGACCAAGATACTGCACTTTGCCCAAGAAGCGCTGCAAAGCATTTACACACTTCGGAGTAGGGAATTTTAGAATAGCCACAAGTTTGTTAGGATCAACTTGCAAACCTTCACGTGAAATACGGTACCCAAGATAAGTTCTATCCTTGGACCCAAACACGCACTTCGACCACTTTAGCTTTAAACCAACGTCACATAGCCGATCCAACACTTTATAAACATCACAAACATGCTCTTCCCATGTCCCCTCCAAGTGGATCAAGATATCATCAATAAAGTTAGCAATCACCTCTAGCATATCGCAAAGAATTTTGTCCATCATCCGCTGAAAAGTTGCTGGAGCATTGTTCAAACCAAATGGCATCACCAAGAACTTGTACAAACCAAATGGTGTACGAAAAGCAGTCTTAGGAATATCTTCTTCGGCCATCGGTACTTGCCAGTACCCAAAAACAAGATCTATCTTGTTGAACCAATGACTTCGCCCTAGATGATCCAAAAGATCAGCAGTGTAAGGAAGAGGTACACATCTGGGATTGTCACTTCATTTAATGGATGATAGTCGATGCAGAAACAAATACTCCCATCAGGCTTTGTCATAAGATGAGGTTCACATGCCCAAAGACTCCGTGACTTTCAAATAACACCCTTCTCCAACATCTCCTTGACGTTTGCACGTAAAATTTTGATCTCCTTGGGTGACTGATGATGAACCGGAACCTTGGTTGGACAAGCATCCCCAGTTAGAATCGGATGACGTGTGGCAATCTTGGCCCTAGATGATAGGTGAAATTCAAAGAGATCAGAATACTTCTTCATGAGCTGGTCAACAACTACAACACAAAGATTGTCGGAGGGATCGAAAAAGGGAAGAGCAGAATAAGATGGAAACATAGGAGGAAATAATGGGGGAACAAAAGTAATGGAAGCAGAGGTAGAAGTAAAAGGACAAAGAGGTACAGAATTGAGAAGAATGGATGAAACATAAGTATGAGACAAAGGGGAGAAGCCTCAAAGTCACACTTGGCATGATTGCACTACAACCAATCCATACCAAGAATGAAGTCAAAAGCTTGACTTGGCACCACCTGCAATGATTGCAACTCAAACTTGAGATTGCCCACACGCACAACCAAGTCTACCTCATCTCGTGCACATGCATATGTACAATCGTTGTCATAAAGAATGAAAACTAGTTCCGCCGCATGATGCAAGTGTAGACGGCAAGGTGTGGCATCCGGTCAAGCAATAGAAGATAAACTCGAACATGTATCAACCAACACGGAGAGAATAGTAAGAGACCTTTTGTTATAAAAACAAACTTGGAAAGTAAACATTGGATGAACTGGTGCCAAGTGAACCCCTTCATAATACTCTCGAAAGAACGATGGAAGGATCACTAACTTATTCGCGCAAAGGTCCCTCCATTACTCGTGTGAATCCTCGTTTCTCGGATGCATCTCGGTGTCCAAACTGTCTACTACAGTAGCACTAATGAGATGTTGCTGATGCTAAGGTCTCCACCCGAGAAATGGAGATTGCCAATCCGGAAAATGCCGACTATGCTGATAAGTATGACCAACTTCATCACACGCCCAGTAGCGAACACCATGACCACGACCATGTCCTCGCTCTTGTCATTGGACTCGCGTAGCAGCAGCATCAACCTCCATTGGAACAGGACCATCACTCATAGGAAGTGGAGCTGAAGGACATGTAGCGAGAAGTGGAAGAGGTAATGTCTCATAACGTTGTGCAAGCAAAGAGCATCGTCAAGGGTGGCAAAAGCAAGTGCATACACAAGTCCGACAAGATTTTGACGAAGTGCTGGCCACAACATTTTTAACTTGATCCACTCCGATATATTTAGCTCCACATGAAGTAAAAGGCTTTGAAAACGAACGCCAAATTGCATCACCAACTCAAATGGCCTTTGGCTAAGACGATGCTATTGTTGGAAGGCATCATCACAGTCGTCGGCATGTGTGAAGGCACGTTTGAAGATGTTCAAGAGAACATTTCAATCCCCATAAGTAATTGCGCTCAAACCATTGTACCACTGCAACACCATCCCTTGGAGACACGTGGGAAACTTATGCAAACGTTGAGTATCATCCCAAGAATGATATGTGGATTCAATTCTTCCAGCTCCAAATATTGTGTGATTGAGTTGTAAGTTAATTAATAGTAGAAAATAAGAAAAAAAACAAACATTGAAAAAATAGTGTTTGATAATATCTTCTTTACTTCTAGTTTTTTAATTTTCAAAAGAAAACTAGTGGGGGAGTGCTAGTAAAGATATCTTGGCCATTCATTGATAGTTAATTAAATGAGCATGTTTAGAGATGTGTATAAGAGTTTAGCTCTGGACCAATTCACACATGAGTTACCCGAAAATTAAAGTTCAAAATTTACATTTTCCCTATTTGCACAATAACTTAAGCTAAAGTAATGTACTTACCCTTATTTTTTATGGGAAAATTATTAGTATTTTGGATTCGCACAAAAAAAAAGGGAGGATTCTTAAGTAATTTAAATCTAAAGTGTTGGCATTTTATTTTAAGGGAAGTTAAAAATTATTCCGGAAATATTCAAGAAGATTGTTAAGTTAGGGTTTGGCGTGCCTGCGAAGAAGTTCTGATCTCGCGGCGCGGCCCGAGAATTAAAACATGGCAGCAGCCGCGGAGATTTATGAGGAGGTGGAGGAAGCAGGTAATTCGATTTTAGGGTTGGAAGAGGAAACAGAGCTCTGGGAAATGGGGCCGATCGAGCTGGATCTGGGCCTGCTCGTGCTCTATCTTCACCAACAGGAGGAGGAAGACATGGAGGGAGAGGTTGGAGTGAGAGGAGGGGGCGGGTGGCCGGGGTTGGCCGCGGATCTCTGAATCTGGCCCCGGGAGGATTAGGCTATGGTTATGAGGCGGCTCGAGGAGGGGGTGCCCCGGGAGGAGGAGGAGCTCGACCACGAGGCTGTCCAGTTTGCTGCACCTGCTGCTGCGAAGAGAACCCTTTTCTTCAATTAGGTTTTGTTGCTTGCTGTGCAAGCTTTCATGCACATTGCGGATGACAAGAGCCCCGGTCTCCAAGTGCTGCCTGAGGAAGAAGACCGTGAACTTGAGGTTTGTCGGGCTGTGATTGGGAGGAGGTTTTGCATCGGCCTGTGGTGGGTGAAGCCTCGAAATGTCACCACCTGGAGTAAGTTTTCTTTGGAGTATTACGATGTGGGGAGGTGGAAGAGGAAACTTCAGATGGAGAAGAGGACCTTCTTCACCATTTGTGGCATGCTGGAGAGCAAGATCCGGAAGCAAGACACCGGTTGGAGGAGTGTGGTGCCGGTGGATGTTCGACTGGGGGTGACTTTGTACAGGCTTTTCAAGAACACAGATTACTTGGATCTGGCGGACAAGTTCGGCATCAGGGAATCCACAGCTCATGAGATTGTCATGGACACTACTGTGGTGATTGTCAAGTGTCTCAGGTACAAGATTCATTTTCCTTCAACCGCCAAGGAGCTTTGAGCTGTTACTGCTGGCTTTCGACAAGTGACAGGTACATTTTGTTATGTTTTTTGGATTGTTATAAGTTTTGATGACCAATAGGAACCCGACTGCCTAATGTTGCTGGGGCGATCGACTACTAGACTGGACGGCGAGAGCTACTACGACTGGAAGCAGTGGTACTCGGTCATCTTGCAAGGGGTTTGTGATGCCCAGAAGAGGTTCCTCAGTGTCTACGCTGGGTGGCCAGGTATGTTTCTCTGTGTGTTGTGGATGGTTCTAAAATGTTCTTTTTGCTTTCAGGACGCGTCCACGACATTAGGGTTTTTCGTAATTCAACCCTCGGGAACAAGATTGTAGCAAGGGAGCTGCTGACATCGCTCGCGGTGTTAGCATATGGTGATAGGATCAAGCCATACCTAGTGGGGGACAAAGGGTACCAACTCCAGATTCCACACACAAGTAAGTCTTCTTCATTCTACTTTCTTTTGTTCACTTGTTTTGGTTGTTGCTCAGCTCCGAACCCGACACCATCCAAGGCAGCTTTCCACCTTCATCACCACCTTGCTCGGATTGTTATTGAGCAAGCATTTGGACTTCTTAAAATGAAGTTCAGATGCTTGGATCAAAAACAAAGGATCCAGCCCAAGTACCTTCCCAACATCATCAAGAGTTGTTGCATCTTGCACAATTTCTTGATTGATGTTGGGGAGACTGTTCTTTGGGCGGAGATCCAAGCTTGGAGGAAAGAGGTGAAAAGGCTCAAGGACCAGGACCTCTTTGTCGATTACGGTGATCGTGAGCAAGCGGAAGGGGAGCCTCGTGAGGAGTTGCACAGTCCAGAGGATGCAAAAGAGGTTAGAGAGAACCTCACGTTTTCCCTCTGTCTTTGCTAGTGGTCGTGTTTGCTTTGAAATTTCCTGGGATATAATTCTAAACATTTGAATTTGAATTTGAAATTTCAAAATTTGAATTAAGTGAATTTTAAGTGTTCGAATGCATTGTTTTAAAGTGCGAATCCGAGGGTGTTTTTCCACTTAAATCTAAGACATGTGTGAATGCAAAAGTCCTTATAAACAAATTTTTTCAATGTGCGAACCCAACTTTCTTAATTTTTAAAGTGGGTCGCTTAAGTTTTTTTTCACTAAATAAATGTGCGAATTGGTCCTTTCTCAACATAAAAGATAATGTTTTGCCAAGCTTACCACAACCACTGGCAACCTTGATTGCCAATGATGTTGTCCTTGGCTGTGGTATCTATAACCATATAGCTAGGGCCAAAGTTACACCACCAATGGCCCATAGCAAGCACAGCCACGGTGGCACAAGCGTCGCAGTGGATGGACGCGGCCCAATCCGCAGGCGCGCAGCTCGTGATCCTCACGGTCAAGCACCACGACGGGTTCTGCCTGTGGCCCTCGGCCTACACCAATTTCTCCGTGGCTAGCAGCTCTTGGCGAGGAGGGAAGGGGGATGTGGTGGCCGAGTTCGTGGCCGCCGCCAGGGAGCGTGGATTGGACGTGGGCTTTTACCTCTCGCCATGGGATTTGCACGAGAGCTGCTATGGCGACACTCTTCTCTACAACGAGTTCTACCGAGAGCTTCTTACTGGGTGAGTGAGACATTATTTGCTTCTTCTTCACGCATTTTTCTTGGTGGCATGATCACTGTGTGATATGTTTGCATTTCCTCCAGTCCATCAAACGGTTTTAGCATTAGGAGCTCGCGAGCTTGTGGGCTTTTGTAGTTTTCATCTCTAGCAGCAGATGCCTTGACGCGGCATTTTGTTTTGCGTGCAGATATGGGCCGATCTCCGAGGTGTGGCTGGATGGTGCGAAATCACCCACTGCAGTGAACATGAGCTACGATTTTGAGCTCTGGTTTGACACGATTCATCCCCGGTGCAAACATCTTTTCAGATGCTAGCCCTGACATCCGATGGGTTGGGAACGAGTATGGTGAGGCCGGACAACCATGCTGGGCGATGGTGAACAGATCTTCCATTATGATCAGCAGGAGCAATGGCCAGTACGTAAAATCCATCCTTCCATGAGACTTTTGTTCTCGTGAAACTGGATCCAATTCGCAACATCAACAGGTACTTGATGTCTTGAGAGAGTGCTGGAACCGACTGGCTCCCTCCAGAGTGCGATATCTCCATCAGGCCCGGTTGGTTTTGGCACAGGAACGAGGCTCCAAAATCCCTGGAGCAGCTGCTCGATGTATTCTACAAATCATCCGCCAGGAACTGCTTGCTCCTGCTCAACGTCCCTCCAAACTCGTTGGGACTGATCAACGAATCTGACTTCCAGACGCTGGAGCGGTTTAGCTCCACCATAGATTCCATCTTCAGCGTCAACTTAGCAGCGAATCCCTTGTCCGTGACAGCAAGCAGCGCTTGCAGCTCTTTGTTCGGGCCGAAGCAAATCCTTGACGAGCGTATGGAAACTTTCTGGGCTCCAATGCAAGGGGAGTCGACCGGCTGGATCGAGCTTGATCTTGGCAAGGTCTCAAAGTTCAACGCACTGGAGATCCGAGAGCCAGTAAACATGGGACAAAGGGTCATGGAATATCTTGTCGAGGCATGGGACAGCGTGGGCTGGTACCTGGTGAGCAATGGTAGCACCATTGGTTACAGGAAAGTGGATCAGCTGGAAGAGTATCAAGTATGTGCTGCTTGCCTCATTCGACTACTGATTGACGCCTTGCGGGGAGATTCATTGATCTGCTTCTTTGGTTTGTACTTCGATATGTACAACCTCAGGCACTTGTCTTCTATTTAGAAAAGAAACTACAAGATGGATACACTTTTCATGTATGAGAAACATAGTTTGCATAGGATGAAGTCTATAGATATACTACACCAATGGCTCTAAGGAATAGGTAAAAGTTGCAAAAGTCCCTTTGGCTTCTCTCGTGGCACCTTTACCCACTAACAGAGTTCATATGAGTTACAGTACTCAAGGATATCAACTTTTATATTCCTCCAATAAAAATTGTGCTTAATCAACTCATATGTCTTCTTCCCCCCAAAATGACTGGCCTTTGGACGATCATGATAGTGCAATAAAACCTAAGTAATTAACGCATCCAACTATGGTAAATACACATGGCCATTGTAGTAAAGAATTCCATCCACCAATGAGAAAGGTGCTTCTATCTGGGCTTGCAACAAGACCACCTCAACATCCTAAGTTTAAGCATGCTCAACCAACTGCCCAAACTTACTAACCACCTTACTCAAATGATGACAAAACCATATTTGTAATGCCATTACATGGCAAATACAAAATAAAGCATCTGCCACTATATTTGATTTTCCCGGATAATGTTCCCTAAACTCCATGAGTTTGACCATCCAACAAGCTTGTCTAGTATTCAACTCCTTTTGTGTGAAAAGATATACAAGGGGTTTATGATCCGTCAACACCGTGACTACTGCACCATAAAGATAATGCCGCCATGTCTACAAAGGATGAACATTGGAGAGTAACTCTTGCTCATATATGGAATAGTGATGCTCCGTGGGATTCAAAGTTCAACTCTCATATGCAATAGGCTGTCCCTCTTGCATGAGAACTCCTCCCAGTGCATAACCACTCACATCACATGTCACCTCATAAAGTTTTGATAGATCAGTAATACAAAGCATTGGAGCCTCGCTTAATAACTATTTCAATGCCACAAAACTATCCTCATGTGGCTTCTTCCACTCGAATGGCACATTCTTGTGCAACAATTGTGTCAAAGGAATAGCCATCTCTACAAACTTATGTTGAAAATGTCAGTAGTAACTAGCCATACCAAAGAAACTACATAACTCAGCCACTGAAGTCAGTGTAAGTCAGTTCTCCACCATAGCCACCTTCTTTGGATCCATCTTGACACCTTTGGATGTTATAATATAGCCTAGATATTCCACTTCCAACTTTGCAAACTCACATTTGCTCTTTTTCACCTAATGTTTGTCGTCATGGAGTAACAAATGAACCTTGTGTAAATGCACCTTGTGCTCCTCTATATTCTTGCTGAAAACAAAAATATCATCACAAAATCTCCACAAACTCATAAAAATAATGCCTAAAGACCTCTATCATCAACCAAGTAAATGTGGCTGATGCATTCGTCAAACCAAATAGCATAACCGTAAACTCAAAATGATTGAAACTCATGTTGAATGCCATCTTGGAGATAGATGCATCATCCATTGCAATTTAATGATATCCACTCGTCATATCAATCTTAGTAAACACTTGTGCTTCACCAAACTTGTCTAAGATATTATTCACATGCAGCATGGGCATTTTGCCCTTCACAGTCTTTTTGTTTAAAGCATGATAGTCAATACACATCTTCATTGAACCGTCCTTCTTCTTCACAAACAAGACTGGAGCACCAAATGAAGACTTACTTGGTTGAATAAATCCAAAATCAAGTAACTCCTTAACTTGTTGAACTTCTTGCTCTTAAGCATATATGTATAGATTGTTTTGTTTTAGATCATTTAGATCATAGTTAGATATCACTTAATGTAACTCAACTAAAATGGACACTAGTAAATTGGCCGCGTCCCCGGCTCCAATGTAATCTCATGCTCCACACCTTGTAATGAAGGCAATCCATGAGGAAGTTTAGAGGGAAAAACATTAGAGAACTCTTCGAGTATAGTCTGCACTATTGCCTCTCCTCCACATGTGGCTTGGTCCCTCAATTCATGAATAAACAACAAGTAATTTGAAAGTGTTTTTCCATTACAACAAGCCCGCTTCAAAGATGTAGTGGAGACTATAACAACTAGAGGTTGAACTCCCTCTCCAAACCATATATCTTTAATGCCACCGTACTCCAACGAGACACGTTTAATACTCCATTTTATCTCCGGATCCACCTTCATTAACCATGGCATCCCAAGAATAAGATCCACAGAATGGAGATCCGTGAAATAAAAAGTCTCCACAGGTGTGGTTTTGCCAACCAACACTTCTAGCCTTTCTACACATATATCGAAATGCTAAATAGAGGTACCTGCACCTTCCATTGTGTATGGAAGTACTCCTTGTGTCACCAGGCCATACTCCTCAACAAATTTTGTGGAAACAAAGTTCTCATCGCTCCCACTGTCCAGTAAAATCTACATTGGACCGCCACAGAATATGCCCTCCAGCATTAAAGCTGATGCACAAGTGTTCTTAACCTTGTTCCATACACAGTTAAGTTGATGAGCAACAATGGAAAGCCTCTTCCTCCAACCAGAATGGTTATCCCTGTCATCCTTGTGTTGCAAAGTTTGCAACTTCTTAATATTTGACTTACCATTAGTAAAAGATTGGCCATTCTTGTTGCCATGTTATTTGCTCTTCACTGTGGACAATCAGCCTTGTAGTGTCCCAGCTTGCCACAATGATGACAACCTTGTCTATAATTCTTCACAAAAAATTTCTGCTTCTATACCTGAAGTAGCCACCATAGACTTCAGCTTGTGATGTTTATTCCCATCCTTGTGTCCACAATGATCATCACAACGATTCTCAACAAAAGGACTCCTCGAATGCTAGTGAGACTTATATTTGTCATTGTCAAGTTGATGAGCAACATCAAAGAGCTCCTCCAAACTCTTTGTAGGCTGAGAATGACGCAAGTGTTGCTACATGGTCTCACTATAAAGGCCATCAATGAAGTAGAACTTATTCTGATCTGGATCCTTCATTAGAACATGGCTAATCAAGCGAGTTAGCTTCTCAATATAGTCCCCAAGCTTCATTTTCCCTTGCTGAAAATGTCAACGTTTGGTGTAAACATTCTTTATGTCATAGTGAAGGGCAAAACGTAAATAGAAAGCAGCCTCAAACTCATCCATCGTAGACACTAATGATTTTTTATCCGCAACACAAAACTCCTCAAGCCAATTCCACCACCGAAGACCCACATCACACAAAACTATTGGAATAGCCACTAAAGCCTCTGCATTTGGAATTCTTCTAGCAGCCAAAAACTTCTTCCCATTGGCTAGTCAAACTAGACACTCATCCACACCACCATCACTGAAAAAGGTTGGAATCTTGAATCGATCCACGAAGGAAGGCTTACTTGGAGTGCCACCAGAACCAGCTTGGAGTGCCTCAACACGCTCATGCAAGGTACTCATCATGCCATACATTGTAAGCCACAAATTTTTCCTTTCCAATTTGTCAGCTTACCTCGTCTATCCAACCAACATTGCCTTGGCTTTTGATAAGTTCCCTCGCCAAGGTTCCCACTTATTGTACCAGTTCTTACTTGGTTTTAGCTACTTATTGCATGAGCAACGGAGCATTAGCCATCCATCCATGGATTCCTAAATCTCTCCCAATCCCCCTCCCTGGGTTAAACTAGACTTAAAGTTCAGCTACACTCCCCACAGGCTCAAGCAGCCAAGCACACCAAACCTCTAGATTCCTAACATCCCTTGGTACAACAAGACTTGATCATGGGACTTTCTAGCAACACTTGCTTCGGGATATCGGGGCGAAACACTGTGGCCTAACGGCCTGGTATGGGTACCTCTACCCCCCCACTTCCATCCCGAAGGGAAGACCCAAGCCCCTAGGAAGGGCAAGGACCAATGAGCCACAAGGTACTCAAGTGGGGCACCACTCCACATGAGCCGAGAGCACCACAGTCGGTTTCCCTTTCAGGAGTGGGAGTTGCTCTTGAGCACTTCCTTGGGTGGCACCTCCGGCACCACCCAAGTCCATGCTCACTCCCACCCAAGGCCCCTCAGCCCCAGTCTCAACCTCAAGTCAGTTTGGAAGCACCACTAGAGAGTTCCTTCAAGACTAGTTCCTGGACCTCATTATCCCTACTATACTTTTGGAACCCCCTGCAGCCCCCCCCCCTGGAAGACGCACGCTTTGGGCTTTCACCCCTTGACCTATATTAGTACTTGGACTCGGTCTCGAACTCGATCTTAGACTCGATCTCGGACCCGACTTCGGACTCGGTCTTGGACTTGATCTCAGACTCGATCTCGGACCTGATCTCGGACTCGACTTCAGACTTGACCTTGGACTCGGTCTCGGACCCGATCCCAAATCTCGGACTCTGTCTCAAACTCGGTCTCAAACTCGGTCTCCGAGTTGGCCTCGAACTTGATCTCGGACTTTATCTCGAACTCAGTCTCAAAGTCGGTCTTGGACTTGATCTCAAACTCGGTCCCATCCGATAAACTCTTTGTCATTTCGGTCATGTTTTCAGGGATCCTTTAGCCTATGACACCTCAGGGAGTTGGTTCCTTACAACTCCACCACCCATAGAAGAAGTTTGATACCCATATTGAACATATCTTTTTATCCTACGACTTGTTGACCATGTCTCTGGGGGCATCCCCCCACTTAGCGGTGTGTTTAAGTTAGCCTCCCTGGCCAAGAGCCCATGACAACAGAATATAGGTGTCCCTATACCCCTCACCCAACCACGCCCTAGTATGGGGTCGGGACTTGAACCCAGCCTTGCTTTACTAGGGGGTTGGGACTCAAACCCAACCTCCATAGAATACGTTTACGGATTTGATATCCCTGTAGGGAGTCGAGTGTAGTGCCCTATGCTTGGTCGACCTAGCTAACCCATGCTAATTAGCTTACCTTCAGTGCACCTTCGGGTCCTAACATATGCTATTGCTCAACTTCACAAATGGATGCTTTTAATTGAACTTTGCATAAGTACATGGAGTTCTACCTTGTAGAAATTCCTCTACTAGATCACGTTCGCTAGGTTCTCCTCCGGTTCCCATGTTATTTCGCAATGT